GCAATATTTGATAATTTATTTTGCTAATATGTTTCTTATTTAGCTAATGTTTTGATTTTTTCACCATGTACAATCTAAATAGCTAATATACTTTTTTAAAAGCCAATAAGAACATTGGTAGAATGATTGGTCAATGAAATGAGGCTATGTCTTTGATGATAAAATACTATGTCTTTGATGATAATATACTATGTCTTTGTGCTAGGTCATTGTGTTCATTGGCGAGCGAGCGCAGCGAGCCATGGTTCACGGCGTGAACCACATAGGATTGCGTAGCAATTCTCGGGGGTTGGCGAACGTTAGCGAGCAGGGGGCGGAACCTCCTAGTATATGTAGATTATCTGTGCATTACTTTAGTTCTGCGTGATCAATACACAAGATGTTTAGGTTTGGCGAGATTGTGCGCGTAAACATCGGCTGTAGGTGATTTCCATCATCAAAGTAAAAATAGCTACTGCCCAGCTAATCCCAAGAATAATAAACAGTCCATTTAAATCTGATAATCCTAAAGGGTGGACTAATTCACTCTGAGAATAGTTACTGTTCATAGTTCTCATTAATTCGAATTTGAAATCATGATGGTCTACTATTTTGTCGTATATACCACCACTTAAAATTCGGAGCAGGATTTTATTGAAGTGCTCTTTGCAGCAAAAATCTTTCCTGATTGCAACACTGATCGGAAAGTGACCAAAAACATCTTTTGAATAAAAGTACCTTTCAGGGGGGCCCACAAAAAAGCGGAAAAAAGTGGGTGCCCCAAGTATTGCTACTTGTTCCGGAACATGATTCAACTTAAAGGTGTAGTACCATTTATTCTTTTTAATGTATTCCCCTAATCCTTTGAAATGAGGTACAATGCTTTGAGACAAATAATTTGCTTCATCCGTGATTCCCGCTGCTAGACACAGCATTTTCCCTTTTCTGACTTCGGTGTAGAGATTTTTGAAATCTTTTATTTGTTTCATTTTGATTGGGGATGTCAAAAATGATAACAGGATTGAGCTGTAACCCAGAATCAGAAGATATGAATAAATGAGCCAAATTCCAAGTGGTATCCGCCTGAGCATTGAACGAGGATTGTAGCTTATCCCTTGTCCGAAGGAAGATCCCCACAAATTGAAGAAAACCGAAATAATGGAATCTTTTGGCGAAATAAAAGCTCGAAATAGTACTGTCACAATGAGGAGAACGGCAAAGAATAAAATTCATGTGAGTCTGCTGAAAGGATACGTGAACGCTGCTGTTTTTGGCAAGAAAGAAGCGTGATTCATCAGAAACGTTTTTTCAAGATTGTAGTAAGGTACGCTGAAATCTACAACAGATGACCTCTCTTCGGTAATAATTATATAGCTGAATGCCATGTCCACTTCCTTCCTTACGAGCATTCCAATCATTCCTGTCCAGTTTCCGAATGCATCCTTGGAACCGTACGAATTGTCTGAGGGAACAAAAATCTCATATTCGAAATTTAGCGCATGTGACAATAGTTTTATAAGTTCGCCATCCTTACCCGAGATAATGGTTGTGTTGTTGATTTTTTGAATTTCTATGGTTTTGGTATCGGGTAGAGCCGCAATTCTAAGTTTAGTTGGAAAATATGCCTCCATTTTTTACAAAATCCTTTTAGGTTTAATTTCAGATCAAGTTCTTTGAGTTAAGTAAGTTCTTGAAGTCCTAAAACGTATAAAGATGTTGCGTTGTTTAGAAAAGTTCACAGTTCTTCATAAGATGAATGAATTCTTCTAGGAAATATTCTTCTGGAACTAGTGTGAATATTTTGATGTTGGATAAGAAGTATCGTGTTGATTCTCAGGTTTGAAATAAGCTATGATTTATTGAATCAAGTCAGTTCTTCAAAGCTAACAGAGCAACAAAAAAAAAAAAGAATCTAAATTAACAAGGCTAATCTTTCTAAAAAACCGAGTATCTTTTGCTATAGATTATTATTTTTAAAGATTTATTAAATGCTAATTAGTTTGGATGTTTCCAATCTAGATAAAAATCATTATTAATATCCACTATTATATTAAATACTCAAATTATTTGCGCGCAAGTTAGTCCATGAAATTTGCCAGGATAAAATTTGAGTGGTTAATATTTGACTGACTTGTTTGAATAGTTTTTATTTAAGAAATAGAATGAATTAAGAGGAAAGTGTGGAATGCAAAACAGAAATTTAAGTTTGTACTTTTGTTTCAGAGCTTTAATGAAGGAACGAATAAAATAATAAATAATGGATCATCATAAAAAAATAAATGCAGGAATGAGCAATTATTCATTATTGGTCAAAGAGTTGGACACTAATCTGTGTTTATAAGGCCCTCATTTCAACACCCTTTTGCTCCCATTTCTGTTAAAAAGAAACTTGCAAGCAAGTGACTCAAATTTAACTATGGCGAGCAGTAAACGTAAAACGTTCTCCGTTGGTGATAAAATGGGCATAATCAGAAAAATTGAAAATGGATGTAATCAAGCTGATATTTGCAGGGGATATAAACTATCCAAATCTACATTTCGTAACATATTGAAAAATGTGCAATTAACAATTTCTGCGCATGAAAACAATTTAGATGGCAGAAAAAAGTTGAGAAACGCAGATCACAATGGTGTTGAAGAAACATTACGGAAGTGGTTCAGCTTTCGAAGAGGTCGCAATTTTCCAGTATCTGGATAAATGTCGACGAATTTGCGAAGCGATTTCGTGCGATTACTTTTATATGCTCGAATGGCAGGTTTAGACAGGTTTAAAAAGCGGAATAACAGAAATTCAGGAAAAATTATCTGAGAGTCAGGAAGTGTTTCCATTTCTGATGTTGAGGATTGCTCATCAGCTGAAGATTATTAATAATTTTTTTTGTACGCAAAACGAAGAATAATAAAAAATAACACATTTTTAGCTACTACATAATATTTTTCATTCATTTAATTGAATAATGTGTAATAAAAGGGAGGAGTTTGGGAACCATTAGTTAAATTGCCTGAGTAACGGATATAGTGAACTCCCGGTTATAGTGAACTGAAACTTCTGTCCTTTGAAGGTAGCGGGGTTTGACTGTATATGCAATAATGCACAAAATTTCGTAAATCTAACTTAAATAATCATGGAGACATGGGTATTTTTTTAATACTACTCATTTTGCTCTTTGAGTTTTCTAGCTATAACTTCAAATTTATTGAATGAAATGGAACATTTTTTTTAATAATGCTGAAAATGTCGTTTAAAAATTTGATAAAAAAAAATTAAAAATTGCGCAAGACATTAGTGTTTAAAGTGATCATTTTATGCTGCGCATGTACGAGAAACATAAAAAAAAATTTAATCATAATTTTATTTTAAATTGTTTTTCGTTACTTATAAAAAAAAGTCCGATTTGAATATCTTAAAAATGTAAAAAGCTTTTGGTAATTTTCTACGTAGTTTTGGAAAATTTGAAAGGAAGTTTTTGGAGTGGAAAGGGGTTTTCCACAAATTATATTTTTTTAGCAATTAAACAAGATTTATTAAAAATTTTATATAATACGAAATTTGTTATATATTACGAAATAAGATTTGTTGAATATCATTTAGAACATTTAAGAAAAAGTAAGAAAACTACTTTGAAAACTTCTAAAATTTTTTGACATTTCCAAGATGTTCAAATAGGACGTTCTTCATTTTACCAACTGGGATTAGAAAAAATATGAAAAAATTATGAAATCATTTTTATTTAAATGTTTTTTTGCGGAAGCACAGTATGAGACGACTACTTTAAATATTTATATCTTGAGAATTTTTAATGGATGATTTCCAAATTTTTAAATAATATTTTTATTATTCATTAAAAAAAATTCGAAAAATGATTTTTTAATTTTATTGAATATATCTGAAGTTATTGTAAAAAACCGCAAGGCAAAATATTTAGTTTAAAACAATGTTCATACCTCCTTGAGTATTTAAGCTAATTTTACGAAATTGTGTGTATTTATTGCATTTAATAACAAAAATAATTTATTTAAGTTCGAAGATTTTCGCTGTATTTTCGACATAGTATGTTTAAAAAAATAGGAACAAAAAAAAATTAGGAACAAAAAAATTTTTAGGAACAAAGAAAATTTTTCTTTTTGTTCCTAATTCATTGTCGATCCCTGAAACTTTTAAAAGTTTTAAACTTTATTGATATGTATGAGAAATCACATGATCTAAACAGTTTTAAAAATTTTAAAATATTTCTCGAATTATTTCTTGAGAAAATTGAAAAAAAAATTTTTTTTGTATAGAAGTGTTTCCATTATTCAGTCCAACCACCGTATAAAATTGAAGATAATACATAATTACATAAGCATTTTTCTTATTTTGAGCCGTATTGTGTATTATGCTTTTTCAGCGTAGACAGGGGAAGCTTGACCCTCTTTTTACAAAATATAAATATATATTTATATACTTTTTACTTACCATCACAAATTTTCAGAGATGATATTGTATTGAATCTCATGTTTTTTGACAGTTAAAATAATTTTTTTTCTAACTTCATTCATTAACTACTCATTTATTTAATGATTTTTCGTGAGTTTACAGTGAGCAAAATGAAAAAGATAGCACCCTGAATATTTAAGGTTCCAATGATAGTATTCTATTAATTAAGTATCATTTGGAAAGGCTCATTAGAATAAATTCAATCATGCAATTAATCAGTACTAATTATCAATTAAGCTAAAAAATCAGACGCAAAAACGTACTTTCTCTCTAAGAAACATACCTTTTTTGGTGTATTTTAACTTTTGACTGTTAAAACTTAGGATGGGAAGTTCATTTAGGAAAGGAAAAATATGGCCTCGATAGTTTAGTCAGGAGAGCTGTCGAAAGTTTGGGTCTCTAAATGTTAATTCTGGCCATTTTGCAATAGCAAAGGAATCGTTTTTAAGTGAATAAATAAATTTCTGTACTGTATGACACGTTGAATTTCGCTCAAGATAAAAAATAATTTTTAATTTTTTTTTTATTATTTTGTTTATAAGGTTTTGTTAATAAGGGTCAAACTTTTAAGGTATACAAATATTTCTATCATTTTAAACCATGTAATTTAAGATGACAAAAATACAAAATTTACCGAATTAAGTAAAGCAGTTTCTCAGTAATAAATTTAAAATTACGGCAGATTAAAAATTTTATAACTCAGGACATATTCATCCAATTTCGCACAAATTTTGCATTTTTGTCATTTCAAATGGTTTGAAAAATGCTATACACTATAATTTAATATTTTTCGACCCTTATTAAATAAAAAATATTATCAAAATTATTGTTTTTATCGATTAATGTTCAAACTAAACCTATAAGTATATACAAAAAATTTTCGAATATTTTAAAAACATTTTTGAGGTGCGGGGAAACAGAAAGAGAAATTAGCAATAAGGGATCAAAACTCTTAAGAGCCCCAGTGGCAGAATCACAACGACGTGGCGACATTGTCGCAGAACTTTACAGAGTTCTTGCAGAAAGATTCAGAAATTTACACGTAATATTTGAATCATGCAATTTAGATAATAATTTTTTGATGCGTTCAATTTACACCGATAGTATCGTAAATCAATGTTATGTTTCGATGGTATTTTCGGCAGTTTTTCCGACAAATTTCAAACAATATGGAAAATTCGAATCGTGCATCTCAGTATTTATTTTCAATTCTAATTCTATCGAGTTTTTGGCAGTTATTGCTATTGATTTCTCCATAGTTTTTAAACCCGATATTTTTTATACGATATCATTTATTGCAACAACTAAATCTCGAAACGAAATACTCGCTTGAGGAGTTCGATTCACGTGATTTCGTCATCGATCTTCTTTCTTTTTTCTTCTTTTTTTGGCAGTTTATGATGGTTTTCATGATATTTAATAATTTTTTTTTATTGTGATGATTGTTTATAAAATTAGAAGTAAAAATTAAGATGTGTGTTTCCCTCCTCCCAACAAAATGCGAAAATATCACCCATAATATTAGAATAAAAAATTATTACATGTTCAAAAATATAGTTTTTTTTTTTAAGAACAGCGTATTTGTTATTTTAAATTAGTAACATATCTGTTTATTATTATTAAAAGTGTCTTGCAGAAAGATATTATTGCTAGAGAGTTTAGTAGCAGATAGCTCGAAAAAATTCTGCCACAGGGTCAAGAACTATCTCGTTGCAGCTTTCGGTAACATATTTTCAAGAATACAGTTTACTCCTCTATATTTTGATGGCCGAAAATTCAAATCCGTTGGAGAAAAAAAAAGATTTATTCAGAGAAAGTACGTTTCGTAATAGAATTAATAGTTAACACAAGTTAATCAATTTTTTTCAGATCCCTTATTTAGACTATTAATATTGCATTTTTGGTGAAAAGCAGACGATTTCAAAAATAATAATAGTTATTATTTTTTATTCCTCACTTTAGAAATAGAATGAAACTTCTACCCATAAGATTGGAATGACCCTGTATGGGAGTGTTATGTCCTAAGAGAGTTAAAACATTTATTAAATTCGTTTCAGCAAAGTCAAAAGAAATGTTATAGACAATAATTTTGTCTAAAGAAATATCTAATATTTACCTGGTAGTGAAATACATTTATGTAAAACTTCTATAAAAACGATATGAAGCTTTGTTTAAAATATAGGCTTGGGTTAAAAACTTACAGCCTCTCATGGATTATAATATAACGCTTTGGAGTGTTAGCTCATTTATTAATAAAATTACAAAACTTTTAATGGTTTTCTATTGATAGTCCTGTGGCGGGGGGGCAATGCCAACCTTCATGTATCAAAAGGTACCTCAAGTTAGCATGTCTTATTGATGTTTAATTTTCGTAGTGGTAGTTACGCCACAATACTGCCCCACCAGAATTTTATCAGGGATAGAATTCGATGAACGGATACCACTAGTTTCTGTACTTGTGAAAGACCGGGAGTGCTGGATTAAGGTCACAGGTTTTTTTTAGTGCTGAATGTGAGAGGTGTATTAACTTCACGGTCATAGTCGCTCCTGTGTTGCATTTAGCAGTCGAGTGCATGCAGGCTGACGTTGAGTGTGATCGAGACGAGACTGAGCAGCAACAGCGTGAGGAGGTGGATAATGTCGCAGTCACAAGTAGCAAGTCAACTGTTCAATGTGGACCATCCATCGAAGTAGGCGTTACCAGATCGAAGTGGGCGTTACTGTCAAGATAGGGGCGTGTTCGCATCACGTCCGGGTCACCAATGTGGGGGCGGAGTTATCGACAATGCCAACCTTCATCTATCAAAAGGTGCCTCGTGATTGAATCAAGTTAGCATGTCTTATATACTAGTGAATTGATGTTTAATTTTCGTAGTGGTAGTTACGCCACAGTTCAGTTCAATATAATCATGATTGCAACCATCAAGTGGTTTCCTAAAAAGCCATTTTATTTTTTAACGGTAACCAACACGTTACCTTTTTAATGAATTCGAACTACTTCAAAATTATCTAACACTAGGGGACTAAGCCCCCTGTTCGCTTCCGCTCACCTACTCCGATGATTGCTTCGCAATAATTGCTTTTTCTTGGAACAGTTTTTCTACTAAAGTTAAAATTATTCACTTAACATCTATGAACTAAAAGGAATTCTGTTTACTTACGCGCTTGCGCCTCTACTTCTCACTTCCAAATATTAATATCTATTAGTACTATTATCATTTAGATCTCTTGGAGAACAGAGGTGATTTTTCTAGTTACCATTTTTTAAAATAACATTTATATTCTTATAGCATTATATTGTTCAAACAAATTTGATGAGCTCACAACCATAATTTAAAATTTTCGCTAATAATAGCAGTACTGGAAAATAACTTCAAATTAGGGATACACAAATATTTGAAGGAAAACAATACCTTTACGACTTTTGTTAAATTTATGCTGATGACAACCTAAACATTATGGAAATGAATGGGGGAAAACTGGATCCTACCACGTGATTTTCGGGCCAATAAAAATGCGCCGACAACAATGGAAAACGGTGTTAGACCGTTATGATTTTATGTTATATAGAGATATGATTAACAACACTCTTGATGGCTTATTTATGTTAAAATATTAAAAATTTCCTACATTGGAAATCAAATGCTAGAATAATCATGAATAACTATTGTTACATTGTAGGAATTTAGACTGATATATCATGGGCCAACATAAAAAAGGCAATTTCTGCCTCTGCATTACCAACGAGAATTTCCATCACAGTTTCTTGGAAATTTCTTTAGTTACAATACACTCTTAGAAATTTCTCGAAAAAAATTGTTAAATAACAATTTATTTAATGGTTATTTTACCATATTCCATCAAAAGAGTCAAATAATCATAAATAAAATAATAATCAAACTGTTAAGCGTGAGAAAAACAGTTTATTAACAGCTTTCACCTAATACGGTTAAACAATCAGAATTTTATAGCACCAACTAAGACCATCTAATAAAGCCACTTAATTCTTGGAAACTACGTATTTATCATAGCCGAGTGGGCTAATCTGTCAATTTGATGGCCGGCAGAACTGGGGTTCGATACCCATTATTGACATCACAATATTTCCTCCACTCCCTTCAGCGCACGAAGAATGTCCAGTGTTCGGCACTCTCCAATGCCCATTACCTTACGAAAAGTCGAGCTCCTGTGTCTAGTTTTTTTTTTTAACGTTTTAGAAAAATGTTAGATTTAAATTGTTAAAAAACCGTACAGTTTTGTAATTATGGTTTTATAACCATACTATTTGTAACTGGTTACAAAACCATAAAAGTAAAAAATATTCTTTATCATAAACCGTACGGTTAATCGGATGGACAGACAGCTGCCAGTTATTTTACCATACTTTTAGAATGAAAATTCTAACAGTGTCATTAAGCGGTGGACATTGTTTGACTGAAAATTCCACCCATACGTTATCAGTTGACTATCAAATCAGTAAAACATGATCTTTCACCATGGAATGCTGGATATTATTGGTCCCACAGTACCAAACATAAACTATTGGGAGACGATTATATCTGTGAAATATCTTCCATCAAATGGCGTAGAAATTTGGTTGATTCATGAAAATCAAACATCTCTTGATGTAAATCAATCATAGCATTAAAACAGCCTTTAATAACAGTATTTCCACCAGTGAATGATTGAATATTTCCTGGAAATCTAAACTTATGAATATTTGATGAAAAATGTCAGATGATGATGACCATCATATGTTGTTGCACCATCAAGAATCGATCTGAAATCATCGTAAGAAATCAAACTCTTTTGATTGAACCATCAAGAATTTTGATTCGGGTAAAAAAAGCACATGCTAATGTATGGCCGAGGGGTTAAGACATCTAAGTCATGACTTCGAGATCAGTAGTCTTATCCCAGCTGATGATACTTATTAAATTGAATTTTTAAATATTTAAAAATGTTTTATTTTTAAAATTGTATTTACATGAAGAAAAAAAAACTTTTTTTTTCTTTGGGAAAGCTTCGAATTTTTAAAACAAAAATGTTTTATTATGACTAACTTACTAACAGGTTGACTACATTAACTATATAAAATATAAAATTCTTACCATTTGTTGTATAAAAAGTTTTACTGTGGCCGCCTGAAAATTCGATGCAAGTTCTTATCCATGCAACTTCCATCAAGTTCTTATACCATATTTAAAATCGATATTATTGTATGTATTATTGTCTCTGACAATATTTTTAAGGCAATAAAGAAATCAGTGATAATTATAAATTCACGATTCATTGTTAATGCAACGATAACAATAATACAACGTCCTCATATCATATTTAAAATCGATATTATTGTACGCCTTTCTGTCTGACAATATTTTAAGGCAATAAAGAAATAAGTGATAATTATAAATTCTTGATTCATTATTAATGCAACGATAACAATAATACAACGTCCTCATACCATATTTAAAATCGATTTTATGTAACATTTTTTGCATTCTTACTATCTTTTTTAAAATTATTAAGAAATGTATGATAATTTTTAAATGAAAATGCCAACATTTATTAAATTAAAAATTTCCATAACTATTCCAGGAATAATAATGTTTTTACTATTCATGCTATGATGTTTACATGTACAGATGAACAAGTGACACTCTTGGTACCAACATTACGAGGAACACCTTTAATGGCTTTAGAAAGTCAACTAAATAACAATTATTAAAATAATATTGAGGACAATTTTCATAGTACGAAGCGATGAGATAGTCGAAAACTTAAGTTTGAATGTAACTATTGCATATATTATCAATTGTGTTTTAAAAGGATTACTTTTGAATTTTGAAAAGTACTTACATTTTCAAAAAATTTTTACTTTTAGTTATATTTCATACGCTATAACTATATTTTTTCTGCTGAAATGGCAAACAAAAATACATTTTTAGTTAAAATCTTTTCAAAATTTAAGCAGGAGTTAATTTGTCGAAATATTCAATTTTGCCAAATAATTTTATGTGTTGTTTACATAGATTATTTCAAACAACATTCGGTCACGTGTTATTAGCCTTTATAAAGGAAAACATCCGACTAACTTCAAGTCCATTACAGCAGAATAAGAGAATTAATGCTAAAATTGAAAACTAGCAAAATAAAACAATATTAAAACATCTAAAAAAAATCTCTCTATTTCACAAGAAAAAGTAACACATGAAGTAATGAGTCTAATTTATAAGAATGAAATTGATTAATTCCAGTTAATTTTCTTGATATTATGCTTATTTTGAATAAATTTTATCTTATAAGGTATTACAGGAATTTATTAAAATTTCTTTTAAAGGAAACAGATGAAAAGTAGAAGTTCATTTGATGGCATTATTGTTTTTTTTTTCTTAGTAAACTACTGACTTTTTATGTGTTTTCTTTAAAAGTTTTATGAAAAATTATTTCAATATATTTTAAGATAAAATTTTAAGGACATGAACATAATATCTGAATAATTATCTGAGACAGTATCTACTCGAAACTTATAAGTTATATTCATTATTTTGTACATTACTTTTTGATGTAAAAATACAGAAATTGTTTTAATTAATCTTATAAAATTGTTTTATTTCATAATTAAGCATGATCTGAACACTCTTTTAAAATTTCAAAATAATTCTCTAAGTAATTCTTGAGAAATATGAAGAGAAATGAATTAGTACGGAAATGTTACTATTATTTTGTCCAACCCCTGTATAACACTGATGATAAAGCATAATTAATTTAGTCTTAAAGTTATCAGCCTAACGTATTGTTAGTCGTAATGAGTAAACAGTATGTTTTTTTCTTCAAACATAGGGTAAACAGCGGAAGCTTGACCCTTTTTTTTTACAAAATATAAGTTAATTAATTTGTGACAATCTCTATTTTATTTTTTTCAGCATTTATATCTACAAAGTGTCAATTTATATTGTATTGATGGTGTTCTAAAATTAACTAATTCTTGATTTCTAAGTGTGATGTGACAAAACGAAAACTAGGCGTATTATTTTTTTCCCCACTTTCTTAAAATCATTTTATTTCGTTCCATTGTAGGAAATTAGGTAAATAAAACTCGTGTTTTAAGCTAATTTTCTTAGAAATAGTAATATCTGTTCAAATTAGCGACTACTTGTGCATCATTCCGGGAAATGATGAATGACAGCCAGGCTGGACAGGCCAGACCATTGTCCAGTTTCTATAGGATGAAGGATAGAGTTTGGTGGGGTTTAATATCTTCAATCAAATTTCTGAGGGGTTGTAGAAGCATTTACAATTTGAGTCAGATGTCCACGGCGCTTACCTTTTCTTTTATTCAGTTGCTTAAATTTTCGAAAATAAGACTTTTATCTGTGAAATAAAAATTTAAAAATATAAATTGAGTTCACGGGATAAAAAATATGACAGATAAAATTTTTTTTAATTTGTAAGCAGTATTAGTTTTTCCTTTCTTCAGATGAAAATAAGATACAATTTTTTTTCCTAAGTTAAACAATCAACGTTATATAAATACTTTCTCCCTTCTTAGTAAAGAATCCTGAAAAAATAATCGTGTATTTTTTTTTTCCCTTTAGAGTCCGTCGCTATATTCAGGTACTGTGGTATTCATGAAGTTAAAAATTCAGACAAAAATAAAACCTACTTTCTCTGGATGAACAGATCTTTTAAATTCAGCAAATTTGATTTTAAAAGTGTTAAAATACGGACATATTTCAGCACACATCTCGGACACTTGATTAGCGAATCGGAAAATTTTTGCTCTCATTTATAAAAGTCATTTAAAAAAATAATTTCCAGGAAGAATTAATTTTTAATAATTGTAAAATATTCATCGTATTATTTTATCCAATCTTGTTTGAATTTTAAGGTGTCTCACTTTTTAAATACTTTTAAATTATGTGGGTTTAATTCATGAAATAGGAAATTGAAAGTGATCGATTTATTGTTTCGAAGAAAAATATCTATATAAATGACGCAGAATGTTTATGTATGTACAAATTCGCATACAAATCCGCAATTCTGAACCCTACCTTTAAAGCTAGTGGGCTGCGCCCCCTGCTCGCTCACGCTCGCCAACCCACGAAAATTGTTACGCAATCTTATATGGTTTGCTTAGCAAACCAAACTCGCTTCGCTCGCTACTAACTTTGATACATTGCAAGTGCGCAAAACTCTAAGAATTCAAAACAATCATTCAAATCCATATAAAAACTTTTTTTTTTTTTAAATTTACATCTTTTTAGTAAATACTAAGTCATTAAAATACATTTGAATTCAAATAAATGACATGTAATTCGTTAAACCTATTAGAAATGTGCTATAGTATAATTCGTAATATTAATCAAAAATCGTCAAATAAATTCGTAATACATAAATTCGTGAAAAAAAGCGCTTTCGACAAAATACTAAAATCGAGATCTATCGACAAAGACTACTCACTTCTGCCTAGCTTAATAGTATGAGATTGCTGCAGCTGATGCTCTCTGTTCAGTTATTTCATTTTCCGTTTTCAAAAGCGCTATATGTTGAGCCACCTCAGCTAGATTTGGCACGTGACATTTTTAGCGGCAATCATTGGTCGATTTTCTAGCGTTGCCATTCGGGGAGTTGTAATGAGACTTTTTTTGTCGCCGTGTAAGAGAAATAGTAACGTAAACAAAACAAAGCAAACGTTGCCACCGGTGGAAAAGACTTACAGCCAAAACTTGGGAGCCCCGTAAGAGAATTATATATATTAGATAATTTATTCATTTAAATTATTTAAATAATAACACCCAACTTTATCTTTGAATCAATAAATAAAACAATCTTATCTGATCAACATAATAATTTCCTACAATCAATAAGATTCATCTGCAGTATTTTCCCAAGGACATTCCAAATGCTTCTCGAGAGACACCAATTCAGCGTTACTCTTGTCTGCGACTGATGAAAAATTTAGATTATCTTCATCAACGAGATCATCTTCCATCCACTCTGCATCATCTTCGTTTTCATGGTTTCGGAGGCTAACCAAAAGTACTAGTTATTGAGAACTGATTTACTCATTCTAACAAGTGGTCGCTGTGTGAAAAAAAAATACAAGAACAAACATATGTATAATACGTGTGTAGGAAAAAGTCAAATTTAAATTTGGTGTATGGTTATAATGTACGTACTTTGAATAATACCTCCCCCCCTCCCCATCGTACAAAACCGTACAAAATAGTAAATCCCCTCCCCCCCTTTCGTGATGTACGTACTTTTTGAACGGCCCCTTAT